ACCCGTCAAGAAAACGCACAACAGGACCCCCCCCCTTATTTGGTCGTTGATTTTCCCTCATGAACGAGCAACGGCTGAGACAGCGGGCTCGCTGCTGGAACACAGCTCGCCCAAATTGCCAGCCGAAGTAGTGGGTGAAGCACTTTTGATGTGGAGCAGTTTTCGAGTGCTGCTCAGCGAATAGCACACCTTTTGTCATGAGCGCATTAGGTCTCGCTCCCTCATCGGTCAAGCTGCGCGTGTGCTGCACTTTCCCGAAGCGTTCTCTCCTGTACTCGTTTCCCTCGAGACGAGGTGGTCATCGAATGTCATTTCCATTGTTGTTCAGTTTCCGATGAACATCCTATTCAGAAAGCTATGAGATGTTTGAAAAAGTGATGGAAGAGGGCTTCATTGAGTAAGGTGCATTGAGCAGACCTTCACGGGACAGCTTGTTCAATTACTGCGAGGTTAAGTGAGCGAAATGTGGCTGTTCGCCATCATGAAAGTTGGTTGTCCCACTTCTTCCCGCTGTGGGCCCTAGCTCCCCTGCTATATCTAGTCGGTGTAGTGGATAGAAATAGGTGCTGTATAAAATTCAATTTTTTTTCTCAAAAGACGTTGCGGGACAGTTCCACCTAAGATCACCAAACGGTCAGGTTGGCCTACACACTGTGCACATCAGCCTTCAAAAAGGTTTGGAACATCATAGCAGTCTAATATTTGATTTTTGATTTTTTCCCTTCTCCCAGTTAAAGATTTCCCACCGCAAATGATATTTCTTTGAAAGCTAGCCGTACTTTTAGGCGAAACGAGCCACAACGGTACCTCGGAACAACGGTATACTTCTCAGTCAAATCATGTAGCACCAACTTATCCTGCTCTGTTACCTTCCTAGTTATCCTCAAACGCCCCGTACGGGCTACATGCACTCCTGCAGGCGTGTACGGCGAACAAGCTAATCAAAATCTTGAGCCGTCGTTAGGTTAGGCCGCTGGTTGTTGCGATCAGGGTAGCATGTTTGCAATAAGGGGCCTACACCTTCTGTTTAGATAAGAAACAAGTACGGGGGCGGAATATGGACAACTTGGTCGGAGCGGACCTGCCACAAAATTCGACACACGGAGATTTTCAAATCCTCACCTTAGTCAAAAGCACACGGTCATATGGTTGCACCCCTTCATTAGTGACTATAATTATCTGAGTTCTGCTGCCATTGAGCCTCACGTGCTCTACAAAAGTGGAGGCGCTTGTACCTGCAAAAGGAACAGATGACACAACAGGCAACTTCACAACTTCAAACAATCCCAATTTGACGACGATACAGAAGAATCTTCAGAAAAGGCATCCTTACTACTCTAGGAAATCATTACTACTAGACCGCACTTCATGTACTTCTACTGCATATTTTTGCTCAATAAAGCTGTTTTATTGTTACTATGCCATTTCTATTGAAGACGGATGTTACGGTAAATTGATTAACACTTTGACGACATCGCGCGTTTTGGCTTTTTTGGCCGCGTGGGACCAGAGCGATTTTGCAGGCGCCGCCGCCTCACATCAAATCCGTGAATTTTGAGCTTTAAATACGCAAAACTTCGATGCGACAAAATGTTTTCATGATATTCGATGTGTCAAACTTATTGGAAGGTACAGTAATGGAAGTTCGACCAAAATGACGTGTTATGGCATTGAAAAGGCAAATTTCACTTACTTTTGCTTTAGTGATTCCAATAGTACCATCAAAGATAAGGCTCATTAGCCTGAAGTGAGTTTAAGAATAAGGAACAAATACGACAACAGCATTAGCATTGATGAAATCATTGCCCGAGTCCTAAACTTGGCTGTGGGCCGGGACAGCAAGCGGCGATTGCCAAGGTCAGGGTTAGCTAGATGAGAAGAGAGGCACGCGTGCTGCGGCACAAGTCTTCCAGATTCTGTGGACCAGGATTCCTTTGTAATAGTGGCTCTTCCCTTCTTCTTAACGCCTTGACAACAGCGCGACAACACGCATGTCTTCGGACATAGCGACGAATATGTACCCTACACCCATTACTTTTGGTTTTTTTTTGGCAAATGCCCTACTTCCATTTTTTGTGTTTATTCTGAAGACCATAAATTTACATAACCAGAATCCACGTGGTTCACTAAACGGCTAAATATTCCTCAGTTTTGCTGGTGTCTTCTAAACTATACGGAAATATTCTGTTAGTTCGATTCCTCATTTTCTTTTCACATTGAAGCACAATCCAAAGCAAGAGGTCCAGCCTGATCATTCCTTCGATCTGTAGTATTACACCCAAAGAACAATCACAAGGTGGCGTTCCCCACGGGAAGCCAATCGACAAGAGCGCTTAGGCCTTGCAAGTTAAGCTGCTGAAGCTGCAGTTTTTTTCTCTTATCAGGCTGTTGTCTGGCGCCCTCTCATCTGTACGCTCTCTCACCTCATACTCTCCTCTCCTGCCTTAGTCTCTCATTCCCTTAGCACAGCCGATTAGGAAGGTGAGTGAGCCCTTAACCTAAGCATTTTCAACGGATTCTTTTCCTTTTTTCTTTACTGCCGGCCCACTCGCGTTCAATACCATGCGCATTCGTGCAAGGGCACAACCAAATGTGATCCTGGGCTGTCCTATTAACGCAAACATGCAGATGAGAAAGGGTAATAGAAATGGATCCAAACCTATTTGCAAGACAAAATGTAAGTTTCTACTGGAACAACCACGTTCAAGATCATTTTGAAATCACTAAAGCGAATGTAAGAGAAATATCCCTTCTCATAACCATAACACGTCATTTTGGCCGAATTTCCATAACCCGCTTCCCGATAAGTTGAACACATTGAACATCAACGAAAACATTTTATGCATACGCATACGAGTTTTCATATTTGCAGCTCAAAATTACGGTAGAGATGATCGAAGGCCGTCTGCAAAATCGCTGCCGGTCCCCACGCGAACCAAAAATACCAATACACAGCGAGATTGTCGTCAAAGTTCGTTAAATCAATTCACCGTAACGATCCGTCCGAAAAAGGTCATGTAAAACAATAAAACAAGTTCATTGAGCAAAAATATGCAGTAGAAGTACATGAAGTGCGGTCTAGTAGTAATGATTTCCTAGAGTAGTAAGGATGCCTTTTCTGAAGATTCTTCTGTATCGTCGTCAAATTGGGATTGTTTGAAGTTGTGAAGTTGCCTGTTGTGTCATCATCTGTCGTCCTTTTGCAGGTACAAGCGCCTCCACTTTTGTAGAGCACGTGAGGCTCAATGGCAGCAGAACTCAGATAATTATAGTCACTAATGAAGGGTGGCAAACCATATGACCGGGGGGTGCGTTTGACTAAGGGTAGAATATTGAAAATCTTTAGGTGGGCATCTCGACGTGTGTTCGAATTTTTTGGTGGCAGGTCCGCTCCGACCGTTGTCCATATTCCGCCCCCGTACTTGTTTCTTATCTAAACCAGAAGGTGTAGGCCACCCTTATTGCAAACATGCTACCCTGATCGTAACAACAACCAGCGGCCTAACCTAACGACGGCTCAAGATTTTGATTAGCTTGTTCGCCGTACACATCGCCTGCAGGCGTGCATGCAGCCCGTGCGGGGCGTTTGAGGAAGGAACAGAGCAGGATAAGTGGGTATTACATGATTTGACTGGAAGTACACCGTTGTTCCGAGGTACCGTTGTGGCTCGTTTCGCCTAATAAGTACGGCTAACATTCAAAGAAATATCATTGCGGCGGGAAATCTCTAATTGAGAGAAGGGAAAAAATCAAAAACCAAATATTAGGCTGCTATGGTGCTCCAAAACATTTTGAAGGCTGGTGTGCACAATGCGTAGGCTACCCTGACCGTTTGGTGATCTTAAGCCGAACTGTCCCGCAACAATGTCTTTTGAAAAAAAAATTGAATTTTATACAGCACCTATTTCTATCCACTACACCGACTAGATATAGCAGGGGAGCTAGGGCCCACAGCGGGAAGAAGTGGGACAACCAACTTTCATGATGGCGAACAGCCACATTTCGCCATACTTAAAGGAATCTTCCACGGACCATGGACCAGTGGGCGGGACCGGAAGTGGTTTTGCGACGAAATGCATGGTAGGTACGGATCCACGTTCATGGGAAGGTTTGAAGTGAATCCTGTTCACGTTCGTGCGTTCGACACGTGGATCCGTACCTACCATGCATTTCGTCACAAAAACTTCCGGTCCCGCCCACTGGTCCATGGTCCGTGGAAGATTCCTTTAACCTCGCAGTTATTGAGGCAAGCTTCCGGATAAATCTGATCACGCACCTTCATCAATGAAACTCTCTTCCATTCACTTTTTCAAACATCTCATAGCTTTCTGAATAGGATGTTCATCGAGAACTGAACAAAATGGAAATGACATTTGATGACCACCTCGTCTCGAGGGAAGCGAGTACAGGAGAGAACGCTTCGAGGAAAGTGCAGCACACGCGCAGCTTGACTGATGAGGAAGCGAGACCTAATGCGCTCATGACAAAAGGTGTGCTAGTCGCTGAGCAGCACTTGAAAACTGCTCCACATCAGAAGTGCTTCACCTCTTGGCTGGTTTTGAGAGGTTGCTAGGACAACAACTGTGGATATTTCAACTGGTCGCTGTTCACGACGTTCGCTACACGTATACAACTTCCGACGCATCACGCACACAATAAAGGGGTCCTTGTCCCTTGCCGGGTTTTTCTCTTGTTTCGCTTGTGAGTGACCATCCACTCTGACCCTCGGGAACTACTGCTGACGTTTCCTTTGTGGCGCGCTGCAGCTCATGAAAATCAAAAAGAAAAGGTCAGTGATGCAATTACAAGTAAAAAGAACAAACCAAAAAGCAGCCCAAAACCCAAGAAGTGAGTCTCTCTCCCTTGTTGATTTCCGTATGATGCGGATCTCATCTTAGCTGCTCTCATCAACTTGACGCTGTCATATTCCATGGAGCTGGCAGTCGTTGAAGATGATAGTTTTCTTCTTGATAACTTCCTCATTTCTTAGTATTCTTCAGAGGCCATCATCTGAGGCGAAGAGTATACGATTTCGATGATGATTTCTACAGTGACAATCACATACTAATAAAGATGGACACTAAGGTAAAGAAAAGACATCACGGTCTTTCTGTGTGTGTAGATTATACTCTTCTATCTATATGTAGTCGGCTAAATGTGTCTGTTGGTGTGTATTCTTGTGTTGTGTGCTCGACTGGAAATTCACAACACACGTCACAAAAACAACGGCGCGTTAGGTCTTTAATAGGTAGAGGGGATGAGATAGCGACACAGATAAAGAGTAACAAAAACTGACGACTGGAAGGGGACGCCAGAAGGTAAGGGTCATGAAATTCCTATCTTGAGGCCCAGCAGCAGTGAGGTGCTGTCCCTCAGACATAATTTAGAGCATGGGACAGAAACCTTTTCTCGCTGTTCAAGACTTCTACAAACCGAATATGAAAACTTGTAGGGAGCGGTGTCATTTGTGGACACGCTCCTCCTGTGGCGGGCTTCCGCTTCCGTCATGTATGCTAGAAAAATCGTAGACATTGCATCCCTATCCAATTTTTTTTCTGCTCTGTAGACTTTACTTAATCGAATTATGATGTTTTTCATATGCACAGCCTCTTAGTGAACAGCCCGCCCGAGGAAGGAATATCTATCTAATTCCATATGACTCATCAATGAATACCTTTGCCCAATTTTTTCACTAGTCGCAGGGCTGCTCTGAAACAGAATTTTGAAATTTCGTGCACCCGTGTCCGCTCATTTTGATGCAGACTGTGAGAGGGGCAACTGCTTGGGCTACTTCAAGGATATCTACTTCGAACGTATCCTCCTCAATACTCGCATCTCTTCTATCGAACGTCCTCAGGAAGTAAGGAATTGTGTGGCAGACATACAGAACGATGGATCACAAAACGACAGATGACAGGCGAAGCGCTTGATAGCGCGTAGGGTATTTAATGATATGCATACATTTAGTAGGGAAGTTTATAGTGCTTTCTTCCCATAATGAACGGAAGCTAACGATAAGCTTGATGAGTTCGGAGACTTGGATTCGTATATTTAAAGCAATCCTTTGTGTGGCGGCAGAACTCTTTGACATTCTTTTCTCGCTCCTTCCAAGACGCTGCCTAGGTTATGGTCCTATGGAGCAGCGCCTGGGCTATATGTTGAATGCAGTATCGTGATTCAGCCCACTTCGGTCAAAATGTAGCGAGTTGGCCGTGCCATGTGAGGGTGATATCCATTCGACCGATTTTTAGATGTTTCGGACAGTTCTCGCGCGATATTGGCTATCTCCTAAAGCAATTCACGCCAACTTTCGCAGGCTTTTTTGAATATAGTAAGCAGCTCTCAAAACAGGGCACTTAGCAAGTTCAACAGATTGGGAGTGACACCCCTCTGACATCGAAGTTGTTTCACAACGACATCTTCGCGGCGAGAAATTCTTGCAATGTCCGTTCTTGAAATGAGTGTTGTCAGTTGTGATCACTGAAACAGCACACAAAAGTTTCCAAACGCAATGAGGGATTCGTTTCGCGATGTACAAAAACTACACTCTATGGACAATTGAAGGTAATTCGGGAGGCAGAGAAAGGCGAGGCATGGAAAGAAGTTGGCCTTTGGCCGGCTACGTATCAGGCGACGCAATGAGAGAATCGGGTTAAAGCGCGCGATTTCGGAGAGTGGAGACAAATCGATCGATGGAATAGGATGGAGTAGAAGTGTAAGATGTGAATGCAATAAAGCAGAAGGCCAGAAAGAGTTTCTAGTGAAGGCACTCCAAGAACCAAGTGGAAGCATCCCCGTCGCCAGCATTTGTGAAAGACGTCCGTGGGCACTTTGAACGCGTAGCAGCCCTTTCGATTTTTCGAATTTTTTTTACCAAAACAAAAGCAATATTTCTGTTCTTTCGCTTATCGATTTTTGCAATTTTTTTTCACCAGAAAAAAACAATAATTTGTTTCACAAGAATGCTGGGTTGTGAACAAAACTTTCGCCCCAGGCGGGACTAGAACCCGCACCTCTCGCTTTCCGGGCAAGTGCGCTACCAGTTACGCTACCGGGGCACCATTTCATTCCAACTCAGCTTTTCATGGTATACGTACCATAGCTTTCAGCACTCACACGTCTAACGTGTTGAGCCGGTTAGCCGATATCGGCAATGACCGCGAGGCTGAAAGCTTTAGCAATGAATTTTGACTTGTTTTGTTTGTTAACTGCTGTTTTAACGCCGCAGTTCGCGTTGCGAATGTTTCACAAGAATGCTGGGTTGTGAACAAAACTTTCGCCCCAGGCGGGACTAGAACCCGCACCTCTCGCTACCAGTTACGCTACCGGGGCACCATTTCATTCCAACTCAGCTTTTCATGGTATACGTACCATAGGGCTAACCGGCTCAACACGTTAGACGTGTGAGTGCTGAAAGCTATGGTACGTATACCATGAAAAGCTGAGTTGGAATGAAATGGTGCCCCGGTAGCGTAACTGGTAGCGCACTTGCCCGGAAAGCGAGAGGTGCGGGTTCTAGTCCCGCCTGGGGCGAAAGTTTTGTTCACAACCCAGCATTCTTGTGAAACATTCGCAACGCGAACTGCGGCGTTAAAACAGCAGTTAACAAACAAAAAAGTCAAAATTGTTGTTTCTTTTCATTCTCATGGTCACGATTGGAGATGCAAAGTGGATTTATTTCTGAATTACGAATCATGATTTTCCCTGAGATTCTTTTCATCATCCGTCTCCGCCTGCGAGGTGGCCAATTCAGGCGTGCCGGCCTTGTTGTAGTGGCCGTCTTCTTGTTGTCTTCTTTCTTCTTTTTCTTTCTTCTGCAGCTACCTTTCGGACGAATAAGCCAGCTTGTTCCGTGCCTCAAGGAATCTTCCATACAATCTTACCCTCGGTCCTGAGTGCGGCGAAGTACAACCGTCACCTGTACTCGTAGTGGAGCTTCTTCAAATAGATGGAGCGATAGAAATTTAAGAAACTGTACATAGTGAACACTGTACATTGTGCAAAGAATTGGCCAACCATTAGTGGACTTTGTTCTCGATTATTTATAATCATCATTATGCTCGTGTTGTTTGATACTGGTGGTTGCTTTAGTCAATTTACCGCATTTTGACAATAGAAGTTCTGCAGGTGAGCGGAATTGACTCCAATCGTCACAGCATCGCCATGTCCACTGGAAAGAGATGGCGATACAGCAAACTTGTATTGGCTCTTGGTGTTGTGCCGAAAAAGCTGAATGTTGCAGGCGCTGACTTGAGGGTAGGTTTCTCGGCCACTTCATTGACATTTTTCTCAATCATTATTGAAAAATACCTCCAAACTCTGAATAGCGTGACTGATATGACGGGATTATCATCTCACACGTTTTTTTTCAGCAGGCTTGGATAACATTCATGATAGGGTCTTTTCGTGAGATTCTTGTCTAGTTTCGGCCTGACGCACTCATTTATCATTATGTAGCGTCATCCAGATAAAGAAATGGAATTACAGAGAGACCCACAGCGAAACCTTGACAGACATCTTTTTTGAATACATATCCCCCCTTTCGAATTAATTACTTCATGATCTCAGTGATCAGGAAGATTCCGTGAAGTAAAGAGACGATTTGTTGACCTACTACCGTACCCCATGGCGCAGTGTTGACACCAACAGAAGAAGTGGCAATTATTGAAGGGAAGCGTCATGTCCTAAATAAACAGGCGTACCTTCTGGGTAACTTTGGTGCCTGGGTGCGCGATCGACTATAGACAAGAATTGTAAAAGCTGTGAAAATTGTAAAGCTAGCCTATTATGCTACTTGAGGGACATTATTTTATGATATTTCAGAACGTCTACACCCTACGTGTTGCAAAAGATGCCAACGCTATCGCTGCCAACGCTGAAGGAAAACGCGTAGTCTGCATTGGAGGATCATACTTGGGTTATAGTTCAAGTTCTATACTGACAAATTTCGCCATCCTTTGCCTCGTCGTCTATTCACGGATTTTACTCCTTTAAAGGAGTAATCCACTTCTTTTGGAACCTCTATGGTCACGTTGATGCCCTGTGCTGCACATTGCTCCATGGGAAGGGGGTGGGGGAGAGCAAGGATAGTAATGCTGCTGTGATGTGCTCGGTGTAGAACAGCTGAGCGCTTACTTCTA